TGGTTCCTTTTGATGGGTCACTGTGTGAACAACTGTCCCTTCAAGTTTACAATGACTCTTTTTAGTTCTGATTTTTTGTTTGTGTTTTTAAGTGTGTTTTTGAAGTAAAAGAAGCACTGAAACAGAACACACTTCAATTTCTCCTGAGGTTTTAAACTTATCACATGTACTGCATCAACTTTGATTCCAAAAGACATAGACATAAAACAATAGACAAAACGTCTGCCACTGGAATTACAGCACCTTGGGGGAAAAAATGTGGCACTGGATGGTTTCCAGTCTTGCCATTTACCTCTCTAAGTCTTTTTATTTTCTGTATTTTATTGCTTTGCATAGACTATGTGGGCTCATAATCCTCATATAGGTTACTCTTATCTACATTTCTGCTCTGTTCCACCCCTATTGACTCCTAGTCCACAGGTATTCTTTCATCTTACTATTTTTCACCCCACAGCTCAGACTTGCGAGCCATTTCTGATCTTTAAAATCTTTTCATTTGTCTGATCTCCTTTACAGCCAATGGTAAGAGGTAGATACCCAAAGAGCTCACCTCAAAAGGAGTATCGGTGGTCAGTGGCTGGAGCTACTTCTCAGAAGATTTGTCTCTTCTGTACTGTAAAAGGAATAGAATAAATGCCCAGCCTATGGACAACAAGTTGCAAGTTGGCTTTCACCAATTACATTTTATTGTTCACTGATGTGCTCTGATTTCTGTGTCCTTGAAACTTCCTGGTCTGAAAGTACTTCTATATTGGCCATTCACATTAAGTATTTCATTTTAAAATGTAGTCACACTGGATGAATATAGGATGCTGAAAAAATCGATACTCCATGCAATCTTAGGAAAGATATCACTCTCCTTTGGCATGCTCTCTGGCTAATATTCTGCACTGGTATTCTCTAAATCTTGTGATTGATTCCAAAGACAGAGGAGGGTGTTTATCAACCACATAGTTAAATGGCTAAAGGTAGGGAATGTGATTCCCTGTCAGTGTTTTTTCTTAAGCCTTTTATTAAATCTGGCTTGGAAGGCTGATTATTATATGGAAGCTTGCAACTATTGGCAATGAGAAACATACTTTATTGTATTTCTCTACAGTGATCTTCCTGCTTTTTGATTTTTTATAAAGAATATTGCTTAATCTAACAAAGAAAATGCACCCCCACCCCCACCCCAAGCCTCTATAGAAAATAATGCCATTAAATGATATACAATCATTGTTTCAATTTTTTTTTAGTAAAGTGCATGTTGCCAAAAAGAAACAAACATCTGGAAGATGAGGGATCATTCTGTGCAGCATATAGTCCAAGAAACATCTTTGTCTGGTTACGATCTTGCGTGATTTATCAAATATGTAAAAGATAGAAAGCTGCATGGCCAATAATGGGAAACAGACTTTTACCTTTAGGTTACCAATTCAAGTCCAAGCTCTGTCCAGCAAGCAAATACTGCTAATGCTCTGGATCTGGTATGTAATACACATGTATCAGAGAAATCCTATTCTGTTACCAGTATAAAAATGGCAACATCATTAACTGCAATAATTTTTATTTTTTTATGACAATCACCACTGGTGCAGGAGACTGAATAGACAATGTTAACTGCCTGGAACAGCTTCTCTAGAACATAGATTTAACACACTGGCAAGGAAACTACTTCAAGACTTTCAACTGTGCATCTACAGAACTAGATAACATCCTACACTAATAGAGAGATAACAGTCTAGAAATAGAAGTACTAAAAGATAATGCCTCTGCTTTGGTACTCAAAAGCTACAGTGATTAATCAACTCAGAATACCTCAGAAAGCATCAAGTAAATCACAAATCCCAAGACAGTAAGTTCCATAAAATATGCCTTCAAATATTCAGAGAGGTGGTAGCCAGTGTAGATGACCCAAATCGCATAACAAGTGGAAAGAAAATTATATTTGGTCTGAAGCCTATTTACAAACTCCATCTTGAAAATGCTCTCTTCTAGGGTATTATTTTCACTAGAATTGCTGCAAAAGTTATTAAGTCGTTAATAGGTCTCAAAAATCTCTGGATTTTATTCCAAAATTCAGAAAAGGAACTCTTATCTGATTTCCACAAAACTCATGAAGAAGTAGACAGCATGTGCAAGAACTTCAGCACAGTACTCACCCGGGTCAATAAAAGTCTGGAATGCATCTCTCCCTCTAGGCTTCCTCCATTCGGAGAACAGCTGTCCCATTTCCTTTGTTCCCAAAGTCTTCTTTTGATTTGTCCCCAAGTCCATTCCTGGTTAAGCTGTCTACTGTCAGTGCTGCAGATGGGAACATTGTGTATTTGTCTGCACAAGGTACATCCTTACTTTTACTTACATCAACTCAGGTTACTCAGTCATAGTTCAACTGAAGGTCACTTTGTTCCTTGATAACCTTTCGTTTTGCAAAGTTATGACCCTAGTAACTGTATTGGGGCATTTTTATCCATAACCCTAATTAGTAGTAGTAGTATCTATGGCTTATTGGAATACAACTAAAGAATATACAAAGAACCTGAAGTAAGCTTAGTCAAAATCTGAGCCTGTAAGGTTCAGAGCACTTCCTGGTTTTTCATTGCTCTCATATCTCTGTCTTCAGTGAAACTAATTCATGCAAAATATTTGAACACATGGCCACTATGTAACTCAAACCAAATTATTTCTATGCAAAAAGTTAGAATTTATGTAGTTATTTAGATGTTCTCAAGCAGTCCAGAATCATAATGTTTAATACTGCATGTAATGATGTATAGCTACACCTCAAGATCCAGAGAGTCTATTATGAAGTGCAAAGTGGTTTGTTTTTTTTCCAAAATTGTCATAGCTCATAGAATCATAGAATGGTTTGGGTTAGAAGAATCAGTAAAGATCATCTAGTTCCAACCCACCTCCCTTGGGCAGGGACACCTTCCACGGGCAGGGACACCTTCCACTAGAACAGGTTGCTCCAAGCCCTATCCAGCATGGACTTGAACACTTCCAGGGATTGACTTGCAGCCTTTGGGCAACCATTTCTAATTCCTCACCACCCTCACAGTAAAGAATTTGATAATAATATCTAAAACTTCCAGCTTAAAGCCATTCTCCCACGTCCTTGTAAAAAGTCTCTCTCCAGCCTTCCTGTAGGCTCCCTTTGGGTACCGAAAAGGCAAATTTGGTCTCCCTGGAGCCTTCTCTTCTCCAGGCTAAATAACCTCAACTCTCTCAGCCTGTCTTCATCTTCTTGGCCATCCTCTGGACTTGCTTCCAAGGTCCATGTCCTCCTAGTGCTGAGGACCCCAGAACTGGCTGCAGTACTCCAGGTAGGGTCTCATGAGAGCAAACTAGAAGGACAGAATCACCCTCCTGGACCTGTTGGTCACATCTAAAATATGCAGATACAAAGAGATTCAAGCAGGGACTGGAATAAAGCAAAAGCTTTGCTCATGCTTGGGACCCAGCTCTCAGGTGTGTTAGTCCCTTTAACTTGTGTAGTCTATGTACAAAATCAAATTTAAAAAATCCAGTTGGGATACAATCTACTTTTTACCTGTTTTTTACCATTAGAATTTAGGAACACTACTGTGATCGAGTTCAACAACTGGTTCTCAGTGGAGACAGCAAAGCCAGCAGTAGCTGAAGGATGCTTTCAAATAAACCAGATGCTTGGTCAGGTGAAAGACTCAGGATTCAATATTCTTATGCTGGTGTTGTGCTAGAAAGGTGCAGTGGAAGAAAATATTTATTGAAGCCAAATTGCAGACTTCAGTGCCTTTGCACTTGGGATAATGATAATGTGACAAAATTGCTATTTTTGGTCATGTTTTAGAAAAAAGTAAGAAGTGTCAACTGCAGTGCAGGAGTGCAGTAACCATACCACATGGGTAGATATATTACCTAAATTTTAAACAGCACCTCAGATGTGTAAAGCCCTATAAGGACACTAATTCATTGCCTTGGATTTAAAGAATAAAAAGTTCATTTTCAAAAGAGGCCCTGGCATGGTCAAAAATATTATTATACATGTGGAAATGCAGATACAGTGGTAAAGTAACTTTCCAAGGTCAAGAGTGGATTCTTAGTGTCTGGGCTATTACAGAAAAACACCCTGCCTCTGCAATCATAGGCCCCCCTGCAACAAGCCTGGCAAGTCTGCAATATTCTTTTTATGAGGGGTGATATGATGCAAGAATATTACTACATCTTAATTTTTATCCTGAAATTGTCATATAGGAAAGCAAACAGAATGCATATTTAAAATTAAAGTCAGCATGACATAGTTTGATGTTTTGACTAATTATGTTGAGTGGAGGACATAAAAATAACGTTGCTAGCTCCATGCAAGAATCTGCCAAGTTTTATAGGGTCATTCAATATAAAGATTTTATCATATATTTTATATATATAGCAATTTCCCATAATGCATAATGCAGCTACTGATGAATGAAGTTAACCAGAGTCTTTTGGTATTCAGATTTAGAAGGAGAAAGACAAGAATGCTGTCAACATATTATCAAGTAGTAGATGAAGTCAGAATTCAGAATTCTTCAATAATAAGATTTTAAAAGCATATTAGTCTTCTTAGAAAAAAGCCTGTACAGCTATATTGGGTTTGGATTTATACGGGTAAAATTTATAATTTTATGGTAAATGACTTGCATCTTTTTGATGCTTCACAGGAAATTTTCATTTGTCACACATAATCAATTTTTATCACAAATCTAATTTTAACTTTAAATGAATGTGGGAAAATAATTTTTTTAGTACATATTCTCAATAATGAAATATAAGCATGTGTGTATATAACAAAACATTCAAAACACAGATAAAAAGTATGTTGGATTTTCATGAATTGTTTATACATCATCAGAATTCATTATAGCTGCTGGATAAAACACAGCTAAAGCACTAAACCTCAGAAAATATGTGACCTCTAGTGGGAGAATATGAGTAACTGAAAGAGAAACAGTTGCCAGTGGAAGTAAACAGTAACCTTTCCTCTTAATTTTCCCTAGAGAGAGATTGGGACAGCACTACCTTCTATAATTCAAGAGAGCTATTCTTCTGCACCATTGACAGAAGAATCTGAGGAAGAAGCATCAACGCCAAAATTAATTGATGGGTCTTCAGCACATGGCTCTGGGGTTCTTGGACCCCAAACTCAAGATGGTTAGTAGGAAAGAGAAATAAGTTTTGTGTGTGTAGCTTTGATTTCGAGTAAGACCAGTTTGCTTGCTTATGAATGACAGATGTAATGTGCCTATCTTGAATACTCTGAAGTCAAATAGATGCCTAGTCAAAATGTTTCCATACTATTTCACTATGAAAACAACTGTGCCAAAGAAGATTTACATCTTAGAAATTTGCTGATGGTTGGTAAATACTACTGGTACTACTTTTTGTCTTAGATTTCAGTATCATCCAGAGGGACCTCGACAAGCTTGAGAGGTGGGTCAATGCAAACCTCATGAAGTTCAACAAAATGAAGTGCAAGGTCCTTCCTACATCTGGGTCACAGTAATCCCAGGCACAGCTACAGGTTGAGTGGGGAAGTAATTGAGACCAGCAATGAGGATGAAGACTTGGGCATGATGGCTGATGAGAAACTCATCATGAGCTGGCAGTGTGCACTCACAGCCCAAAAAGCCAATCAAATCCTGGGCTGCATCAAAAGGAATGTGGCCAGCAGGCTGAGGGAGGTGATTCTCCTCTTCTACTCTGCTCTCCTGAGACCCCGTCTAGAATACTGTGTGCAGTTCTGGTGCCCTCAACATAAGAAGGGCATGGAACTGTTGGAGCAAGGCCAGAGGAGGCCACGAAGTTGATAAGAGGACTGGAGCATCTCCCCTATGAAGACAGGTGGAAGTTGGGGCTGTTCAGCCTGGAGAAGACTGTGTGGAGACCTCATAACAGCCTTTCAGTATCTAAAGGGGCCTACAGAGAAGCCAGAGAGGGACTCTTTGTTAGGAACTGCAGTGACGGGACAAGAAACAATGGGTACAAGTGGAAAGAGGGGAAATTTAGGCTAGATATTAGGAAAAGGTTTTTCCCTATGAGAGTGGTGAGACACTAGAACAGGTTGTCCAGGGAGTTGGCAGTATTCAAAGCCAGTTTAGATGAAACCTTGGACAACCTGGTCTAGTGGGGAGGTGTCCCTGATCATGGCAGTGGGGGTTGGGGCTATGATCTATAAGGTCCATTCCAACCCCTAAAATTCTATGATTCTATGATCATTACCAACTATCTTTATTTTATAATGATTTGTTACATGGCTTTTATAAATGTATTCATACAAAGTATAATGAAATTGCTAAAGACTTTTCAACCATGAAACTAGAAACTGTGAAAAACTTAAAGGAAAAACTTAAGGAAAGGGAGATATGTTGAAATTTTGGGTGAATATGATTTTCTTCTATCTATACTGACATAAGAACTTTATATATTTTCCAGGGGAACTAAAGTTCCAAAACATAATCTGTCCCTCTCCCACACAAATTTTGCAATGTTAATAATTGGCATTAGTTAGAAACTCCTCTAAACTCTTGCAGTTGAGTCTCACTAGAATTATCCATTGCTGTGATGGATCTTTGTGTTGTATGGTGATCAACATACAACAACAGGAAAATCCCACTTCTTACTATACCTAACACTGTAGCTGAGTGCCATAAAAAAAATGAAATTTTAAAAAAAAACAGAACAAAAAAGCCCAACCAACCAAAAAAATCCAACCAACCAAAATCCCCAGAATTCAAGCTTCGAAAAGGTGTGTTCAGTGAAGTTAATAATTCAGTCTTATTTTTGTACATATTACAAGTGAGCCTTGGCCAGGCAAAAAATATACTGATGTCAAAACAAATAAAAATGGCAATGAGAATTTCCAGGAGATTTCTGAAATGAAAAAAAAAAAAAAAGTCCACAAATTTATTTTTTTCAATTTTGAAAACTGCGTGATGTTACAAAATGTAATGTAAATATTACATATGAAAAATTCTGTAGCTGTCAACATTTTGGAGCACTGAACAAAAATTAACTAGTACATCAACTGCAGACATGCATGGGAGGCTTAAGACTGTAACATATCAAATCAGATTGCTCTTGTGTCTTTTGTTTTGTTTTCAGCAACATATTTTCCTGTCAGATGTTGCTGCTGTTATTGGCCTGGTACTGAATAGAAGACTACAAGGCTCAGAAACATCAAGCCAAGTTCATTTTTCTTGTTGATATCTTTTTTAATCCTTGCCCTGCCTCTGTTCTTTTTCAATGTACACCAGCCACAGATGACAAATACCACTTATCCAAGATTAAAAATAGGATAGAAGGGGGAACCCTCTTCCTGTACTATGTTGCAATATTATGAAAAGATGTCAGGCATCTTTAACTCTACATTCATTTAGGTCTAGATTTTCTGGAATAGTTCAAGGTGTGACAACTTTTTTTTTCCTGTGTCAGGCTTGCTCCCTGTGGCCAATTTAAATTATCCTGTGGAGAAAGCTAGACAAAGCATGAAAAGCATCTTATCTCTCCAGAAAAGTTATTCTTGGATGTCCAAGTAGAGATTCTCAAATAAAAGTGTACTCTGGTGACAGATTCTTTAATATTGCCTGAAAAGGCATCTTAATTACCCATTGGCAATTGATGCATTAAGAAGGTGCATCTGTCATGTAGCCTTAACTGTTCTGGAGAAAAAACTAATCTGCAAGAAAAACATTTTCATACTCATGAATTATGCCACTATTCTAAAACAACCAACCAGCTACCTGCAACAAGGAGAAAGAACACATGAAACAAAAAAAGTATTCCTGTGGGATTAAAAGCTGTAAACAGATATGCTGATTTATACCCATAATCAAAGAAAAGATGTATCAAAAAGTCAGTGTCACAAGTCTCACCAAATTTGAAAAGTACTATCAAAAGAAACTCCTGAATTCATGGTATTCATTCCATTTTATGACTGAGATGAAGCGGCTTCATTTTTAATTTTCGTGAACTTCTGGTGGTAATCAAATTAACATGGTGTCCAAGCTACCTTAACTCACACTGATAGAGAAATTTTTCATGATGCTGAATTTCTGAATCAGAAAATGTCATTTAACAACAAAGGAAATCGAGATTCTTCTCCATAGGTCTGTAGGAAATTACTGATTTCCTTACAAAATATTCAGAACTACTGTTTATAGAACAAAACAGGATACATGACAAGTTTCAGTCATCAGTTCTTATTTTTTCATCTAGTTGGAATTACACACCTGCTAGCTTAGGGGCAAATTGACCTTTGGCTTCTAGCTGTCACCAAACATTCTATTATAGTTTGAGAAACACTGTATTAGAACAAGTTAATTGCCCTTCTAATAGAGACAGAAAGAAAAATAAATAATTTTAAGAATAATTTAATCACTTTATTGTTGCAATATGATGTGGTGATCAAAACAGAATGTGAGTGCACTTTACTGCAGACAAAATCTGATTGTTATGTGCTTGGTCAAGCACATAACATTGTAGTAATTTACTTTTTTTTTTTTTTGCGCTTCCTTTCTAACAAATTGTTTTCTTTCAAATTCCTTGATAGGTCTTCCCACTTGCCTTTTGTGTACATGCCTAGGGACAACAGTCTACTGTGATGATCGTGAGCTTGATGTTGTTCCACCACTGCCTAAGAAAACCACATATTTCTATTCACGCTACAACCGAATCAGGAAGATCAGCAGAAATGACTTTGCTAACTTAAGTATGGATAGCAGTATTGTTGCAATTAGCTGTAATTTCTATTATTTCTGGCTCATGCTAATCTGAAACATAATGATAGATTTTCTATAATGTTTGATGATGGTAGTATCATACACATAAATGCACATATGGAAAATTGGTTTGCTACTTTGGAGTATAAAGATCGACCCTTTAGAGACAGCTTCTTCGTCAAATTTTTGAATTCTTAGAAATACCAATGATTGTTGATCTTTTTGTGGCTATTTGCAATCATCTTTAGAAAGGTAGAAAACACCTCAAATGTTGGACTTCATTTTGGTGGGGAGTTTTTTAATTGAGAAAGGTGCTTGAGCGTATTTTATGAAACGGTCAATATATCAAATTTCTTACATACAGGAAAATGTTCAAATAAAGGAATATGTGGAACAAGGTAGTAGGAGATATGTTTATTTGTCTTTAAGCGCTATTTTTTCAAAAGATAACCATTTAAAGATTCCCAGAACAGAACACACAGAAATTTTAAAACTGTTAACTTTCAAGTATTTCACTGAAAGATGTATAAAGAATGACACAAGCAGTTCTAAACAGGATGAGAAGGAGATGTTGGCCCTTTTTCTTAAAAGAACTGTTCAAATACAGATTATTGCATTATATACAGAGAGAGCACATGTCACACACTGGGTCAGGGATAAATAGGATTCAAGATATTTTGCCAGCAATTTAAATGACCCATTTGCTTTTGTATTTTTCAAAAATTTCAAGAAATAAATTCTTACATGCTTTTTGTATATTATTTCTCTGCTAGACAATTTAAAGAGGATCGATTTGACTGCAAACTTTATATCAGAGATCCACGAAGATGCCTTCCGAAGATTGCCCCGACTTCAGGAGCTGGTGCTCCGTGACAACAGGATAAGACAACTCCCTGAGTTACCATCTACCTTAACATTCATTGATGTTAGTAAGAATAGGCTTGGTCGCAAAGGAATACGTAATGAGGCATTTAAAGTAAGTCTGGCTTTGATGGGAAAGTCTTTTCTTCCTTTCTTCAAAGCATGTGGTCAGAAGAGAAGCCTATCCATTTAAGACAGATGCTTCAGTCCCTTAATCACCTTTGTTACCCTCCACTGGACCCGCTCCAGGCACTTCATGTCTCTCTTGTACTGAGAAGCCCAGACCTGGACACAGTAGTGCAGATGTGGCCTTACTAGAGCTGAGTAGAAGAGCAGGATCACAATCCTTGACCTGCTGGCAATACTCTTCCTAATGCACTCAAGGATGCTATTGGCCTTCTTAGCCACATAAGCACACTGCTGACTCATGGATAGCTTGCTGTCCATCAGGACCTCTGGGTCTGTTTTTGCTGAGCTGCTTTTAGCAGGTTGGCCCCCAGCCTGTGTGATGCATGGGGTTATTCTTCACCAAGTGCCTGCATTTCTCTCTGTTGAATTTCAGATTGTTCTTCTCTGCCTATCTCTCCAACCTGTCAAGGTCCTTCTGAAGAGCTGAACAAAACTCTGGTGTAGCAGCTACTGCTCCCAGCTTTGTGCCATCAGGAAACTTGATGAGGGGGCACTCTAACCCTTCATCCAAGCAACTGATGAATAGATTAAGCAATACTGGACCCCGTATTGAACCTTGAGGAACAACACTAGTGACAGGCCTCCTCCACTAGAACCTGTGCCATTGATTATCACACTCTGGGATCTGCAGCTCAGCCAGTTCTCAATTCACCTCATTGTTCACTCATCCACTCCACACTTCCTGAGTTTGCCTATGAGGATGTTGTGAGAGCCAGTGTCAAAAGCCTTGCTGAAGTCAAGGTAGACAATATCCATGTCTCTCCCCTCATTTAGTCTGGTAGCTGTTTTATTGAGGAAGGCAAACAAGTGAATCCATGCTGACTAATACTGATCACCTTCTTGTCATCCATGTGGATAGGAATGGCCTCCAGAATAAGGTGCTCCATCATCTTTCCAGGGATTGAGGTGAGGCTGTCTGGACAGTAGTTCCCTGTGTCCTCCTTTGGGCACTTTTTTGAAGTTGGGGGTGACATTGGCTTTCCTCCAGTCCTCAGTCACCTCTTCTGATAACTACAACTTTTCAAATATGATTGTGAGTAGCTACGATGTCCACCAGCTCTCTCAGCACTCGTTCTTCCACTAAATCAAGGAAGAAAATTATTCACCTGTTGAAATGAAATGAGGAATGTATTTTTAGCTCAGACATTTCTTATACAGTTATAATTTGCTTCACCAACAATACACTTCAGCAAAATTGAGTAAACTTGTCACAAAAGAAAGAAACCAGAGGTAGTATTTTCTCTTTAAAACAACATCATTGAAATTATATCTTTAATAATTAAACCTGTAGATATTTTAAAAATATTTCCCCTTTATTTTAATCCAGACACCTAACCCTTAGCAGCAACATTCACAGACTTTGGAAATCAAAGTTGATTACTGTCTTTGAATTTCTGCCATTCCACCCATATCATGCTGAAACAAAATGTGTTACAGTCCAGTGGTGCTCATTGCAGTGACAGATTTCAAACTTACTTGCTAGAGATTTTCAAACATGTTTGTCATTTCCCTGTGTCCACTTCCTTCACCCTCTAGGATCTGGATGAACTGCAGCATCTTTACATCACCGACAATAACTTGGATCGCATTCCACTGCCACTCCCTGAAAGCCTCCAAGCTCTTCATCTTCAGGTAGGCTACAAAACTAATGGCTCTATATATCATGCTCAAATAGTACGTAAAACTGGAAAGGGCAACTAACGTCTTGCAGTGTTTCTTCTGTTTATCCAAAAGTGTTCTTACTTGACTAAACAAGCTATGGGAAACAAATTGACTAGTGAATTCAGTCTTTCAAAGAAGTAAAATTTAGTTCAGCTAAGCATTAATTATTAGAATTCGTAATATAATATTTTTCAAATTCTAGACTCATTATTAGTACAAGTTAAAGTTATGTTCACAGCTGTCAAGGGCAACATTAATCCAAGAGACTTCAGTGATAGAAATCCCTTGCACTGCTCATACAGATTTTTCAACAGGAATATTTTTAGATACCTAGAGGAAGTTTTTAAACATTGACTGTATGTATATCCAGTGCATTTCTTTTTTTTTTTAATAACGGTAATTCCCAGTTAACATTTTTCAGTCAAATTTTTCCGCATGACTATGGGAACATCCCATCCATCATCTTTCTGTAATCCCTTTGTTTTGTACTTCTTTTTATCTAACACTTTGTTTCTGAATCCTTCCTTTTAAACTTTTCCATCTCTACTTCATTCCCTTTATCTCCTCTTGTACCAATGCACAGCTTTGACTGTAAGAAGGTGTTATTATTTATTACATAATACAAAAAAACCCTTTTAACAAATAACCCAATGTACCATACATATTTTAATATATATCTTTCATTAAACAAATCTATAGAACCTCTCTGCTGCTAGCTGACTTTTTTTTCCACCTATCTGTGCTTGTAAATTAAATACTCAGTGTTATGTTCTACAGAACAAAGTTAATGAACTGGACTTTTTCCACACTAATTTCTGACTAGCAAAGGAATGGAGAAGGGAAGAATTTTCAGAGAGCTCTCATTTTAGAAGAAGAGTCCTTTAGTCCCAATTTTGTGACAATATTTATTCCAGCAATCCATTGTTGAAAATGGTTCACTTCAAGAACAAATGCTCAGTGAATACAAGGCACATAAAATGAATTTAAATCAAGGAATAAAACCTAAAGCATTCAATTTTCCCGTATATATACAGATGTGGGTTGTCACAGATCAAATTTCAGGCTCGTGCCTTTGCAGGTTGAGGCATATCAAGCTGTCAGGATGATAATTATGTTTTCATGATTTTTGGACAGGGCTATACTGTTTCCAATTTGTCTTAATAAGGCTCTTCAAAATTATCTGGAAATTAAAAAGCTCTATACTTCTATCAGGTCCCTTTTGCAAAGCCTGTCTCTGCTACATGGTTTGAGTTACTTAGTTTTGAAGCTGTGCACTGGCCAAGAAATTATCCCCCCACTTGGAAGATTTCTCTGTTGATGACTTGCCACCACAATCTGGGCCCTTCAGTTCAAATAAGTATTTCCCTAGCACTGAAAATACATCCTAAATGGTTCTTCAAAGAGTAAAAATATTACTTTCAGGCAACTATTCTGATAGGTTCTTTTGTTTTTTCCTTTTTTTTTTTAGAACAACAACATTCAAGAGATGCACGAAGATACTTTCTGCAAAATGAGAGATTTTACTTATGTACGTAGGGCTCTTGAAGACATCAGACTGGATGGTAATCCCATCAATCTAAGCAAAACACCTTATGCATACATGTGTCTACCCCGTTTACCAGTTGGTAACCTCATCTAAGCTTTGACAACAGCCAATACCATCATATGCCATAAGAATCTCTAAAGAGAAATCATTAACACACTGCTACACTAACCAAGATGCATTTTTTCAAATCTCATTGAGAAATATTTCTGTTCATAATTAAATTGATTATTGAGATACAAAGATTATGAAATATTAAAAGATAAATCCATTATCTACCCAACTACATGTTATATAGTGATATCAAGAAAAATATTTTACTACAAAAACTGTATTGAAGGCAATAAAAGATAAATGCAAATGCCAAATTTTATCCTGAATTATTCAGGTGTAATGTATGAATTCTAAAGTTAAAAAATTTTGTATGTTGAAGTCTAGTGAGCATAGAGTAAATAAAGAAATAAAAATAAAAATGTGTTCACAGTTTAATATTCATCGCCTTTTGTTTTAATTAAATTTTTCTACTTCTTTCCTTAAAGGCCCATTCATTTTGGAGAAGTGTTAGCATTGGGATCTACCCATCCACTTTCATGCTACACTGATACAAAAAGTGGTTGAGAGAAAGTCAGACTAAGCTGTGTCTGGAGACATGAATAAGATGGAGAAAGTGAAATGAAGTGTCAGGGAGATGCTTAGGGTATTGAAGCATCTGACATATGATGCGTGGCTGAGAGAGCTGGGACTGCTCAGCTTAGAGACAAGAAGGCTGAGGGAGATCTGTGGATGTGTGTGAATGTGTGTGAATGTCTAATGACAGTAGGAAGAAGACAGAAATTCTTCTTAGTGGTGCCCAGTGGAAAGTTTTATCCATCTCTGGGAGGAAAAGGTCCTTGTACAAAACTGCTTTTCCTAGCTGTTTGTCTCAAACCTTTTTGTTTCAGCCTCAAGGACGAGTTACCTCTGCCATCTGCCATCTGCCCAGCTGAGTTACTCCCTATCTATATATAAGTTACTATCTCCAGAGCCTTGCTTGTACGCACTGCATTCCCAGGTGCGTACCCAGGACTGTGTCTCTACGTTCCCAGGGGACTGTGGCCTAGCTCTTTTTGGCCTTCCCCAGGATTATATCCCTGCTCTCTTAGCCATTCTCCAACAGTAGGTAATACAGCTCTTCTCACTTCAGAAAACAGTTCAGAGGTTAGCACTAATAATGCCAAGGTTACAAGGTTTGAGTCATGTATGGGCCAATTCACTACTGTTTTCTACCATTCCTGTCTGGACACATAGCAAAGTCATGGAAGTGGACAGAATCCTGTGTCTTCAGGGTTATTTCTGCCAGTTACTCTGCTGGGAAGTCAATGCCCTGAGGAAAGCTCTGTTGGTGACTTACAAAAGTAAAACCAGTGTGGATTTCAAAAGAAAAAAAATGCTATTGCATTTTACAGATTGCTCAGTGCACTAGTTTTGAGAATGTCTGTTAGGATTGTAACAGAAGAAATTAATAACTTGTAAATAATGTCTTGGCCTGGGGGACTGAACTGGTCTGGGAAAACACAAGGTGCCTGAAACAGTGGAGCTATGTTACCCTTGAGAACTTTTTGGTAAATCCCGTTAACTTAGGCCTTTTGCAGAGATGCAGCTATTTCTGCTGCTAGGTTCTGGAGCTGGGAAGGATACAAGGTCATTTCAGCAGCGTAATCCATCGACCAGTACAAATATTCCTTCAGCCACAGGACCAACCAGACTTGACCCAAGAGAATTTCAATCCTGTAATTACTTTAAGTTACAGGGAGTTGATGTTAAATGTTTAGTTTCTATTAAAGAGCTCATCCAAAAGGAAATCCAGAAGATTCCAGCAGAAAAGCTAAAGCTGTCAATGTTCAACAAAGAGAGAAGTAATGACACCAAATCAAATTGAACTGACCATTGTGAGTATTAAGCAACTTTTACATGTCTAAAAGATTTTTTTATTGATGTATTGAAAATGGAGGGGCAGGGCAGTCTGGAAGAAGTTGTATTCGCTTAGTTGATATGGTCCTTCAGCAAACACCTCTGATACCTCATCCAAAATTGAACACAGATAAGGGAGCATGATTAGCTAAGTGGGTGGCTAAAGAAATCTTTAACTTGAGAAGGTCCCCAAAGTGCTACAATCTAACCAGGAGAATAAGAATTACTACAGAACCTGCCAGAGTTAACATGATAAGCCAGTCAAATGTTTCCAAAAAGTCACCATGGTTAATGAAATCCCCAGACTTCACACCTGGAGTTTGGGGTCACAACTTGTGTCTGGGATAACAGCTAGGGTCACCTTGATTACAAGAAGACTGTGAAACTTCCTCTTTTTCCTTTTCTTTTCATTTTTAAAATTTTTTTTCCAGTCCTCTATGGAGCTGAGCTCGGTAACTGCCAATATTCATGAGCAAAACCTGTAGCTATCGCTAGAAAAAAAACCTGATGTGTGGGTTCAGCTAATCTTTTCATGGACCTCTACTGCCATCGTGTGTTCTTAAATAGTGACACGATCTCATACCAAAGCCTAACATCAACGGTATATGTGACTTGTCTTTATTCGTTTGGTAAACTTAATCCTATGCACATTTTTCTTTAATGAAAGCTGAAGGAATTGGAAACTCTTTCAAGATAAAAACAGAGGAACATTATGTGGATTTGGGGGGGTATGGTTGGGGGTTTTTTTTTGGGGGGGTGTTTGCTTGTATTTGCTTTGTTTTTTAAACAACCTAGAACACACACAAAAAAGGAAAGCATTCCTTTTTGTATAGAACAAATAATAAATACTTGCAAATAAATACTGTACCGTTTTTTAAAAATATTCCAGCATTTTTCTCAATTTGTATTTAAATAAGTAGAACACAAATGACATCAGAACAATTTATGTCTCAGGGCATGATACTATACAGATGTTTGAATCCTTAAGTACAAAAATTCACAGTCCTTGATGACATGTCTCAGCAAAAGAGGGACACAGATTCTGATATAAATGTGGATGCACATCGCTTACTATGAAACTGTAAGCCTGATCTGACAGTATCAGTGGATGAAGTGGGAGCCTAAAACAATAAATACCTGCTTTTCCCCAGCTACACAAGCTGTGCAAGCTTCCAGAGACAACCACAAAAATCCCATCCTTATCTTTTTGTGTAAGAATGAGGACACACTTGTCTTTAGCCTAGCTGTTGTCTATAAAGCTTTTTTTTTCTCAGCATAGCAAATTTATTTATACATTTATTCCCATCCCTGGAAGTGTTCAAGGCCAGATTTGATAGTGATTTTGAGCAACCTGGTCTGGTGGAAGGTGCCCCTGCCTGTGGCAGAGGGTTTGGAACTAGGTGATCTTCGAAGTCCCCTCCAACCAAACCATTCTGTGATTCTTATTTACTAGTTCTCATTCTGTACCACAAAAAGCCATCAAGAGGGATGCTACATATTGCACTTGCTGTTGTGCAAATATAGTATGTATAGGAAATTAATATTGTGATAGGCCTGCTATTCACCATTCCTCCTTCCGCACTATAAAGGCAGGAAGCAATTTCAACAGGTGACATAAAGGGCTGGAAACAAGACTTTGAGTCAGGAGAGCAAGACAGGCTTTTTGAAGGTGATTTTTGTGCTCCCCGCTGTGCCAGGCTGCGGCTGCGGCCCTGCTTGGGCAGCCTGGGAAGGCACAGCCAGGTGAGGGCAGGAGCAAGAGGCAAAAGCGGTTGTAAAAGGTTGCATATGAGTTTGT